CTCTTCATCAGTGATGATGTGTGATGTGGCTCCACAGTCCACCATCATTCCCTTTTGCTTGATGTTGTCAGGTAGAATATTCTGGCTGACTTTGAATACCATGGTATGGTCCTCCTCATTTCTTCCCACCTCTAGTGGATAACAGCAGAACAACATGCACAAACATAATGACAAACAAAATGGCTGAATACATAACTTCCAGCTGTGCCTTTTTTAAAGCAAGCAAGGCAGCATGAACACAAAACACAACAAACTCATAAAGACAAGTTAATATGAGAACATATTCTAACATCCTTCCTGACACAACTCTCACCTTTTACCCCGTCTTGAAACCAGCGAGATACACTGGTCTGTGCTCCCTAGTGACTGGTCATGTGATAAAACTACACAAGCTAATCATGCATTTATTGCAGTGAGTGTTTGGTGCAGCAGTTAATTACTTACCTTCAATCTGCACAACACGGGTTCAGAACCCACAGCTGGAAAGGTAGAAAACAATATGTTTAACAGTATGTGCTTTTACAGTCAATTTGGTCTCTTTTTTTGTTGTTTTTATTTTGCACTGTTCAGGAACATTATTTAGACATCTTGGCTAGTAATATGCACTCACCATGCTCCATACCTTTCTGTCCTGTACTGTGATATGAACGTTAAAGTGTTCCAGGTAACAATGAGTCTTGGTCAGTGAGGAACAGAAAGAACTAGTTTTATTATCCTCAAGGTTTGATTGATATATTAATATATTGATATGGTGACGTGTCTTCAAGCAGAGTCCTTGACTCAGATCCACTCCTTCCTGTCTGCAGCAGTCAAAGCAGATGGCCGCTTGTCTCGAGTCTGGTTCTGCTGGAGGTTTCTTCCTTGGAGTTTTTCATTGACTCTGTGCTTGCTCAGGATGAGAGACTGACGAAGTGAAGATTCAACATGTGCTGCTTCCTTGGTTAAGAGAACTTTACTAATTGGCTTTTTCATGTATGTGAATGTTTCTGTTCAGTGCCCTGAGACAACGTTGTTGTGAACGGGTGCTATATAAATAAACTGAATTGCAGCAGACCTTTTGATGACGACTCGGACATGGAGGGGCTGATGGCTGGAGGTTACTCTATAAAACGAACTTTTGCGGTCTAGGAAGTTAGAGCCGTTTCAGACGGATGAGCGCAGTGATAAGTGTGATCTTGTTAGAGCATCAATGTTCTGTGAATGCTGGACTGCTCTCTAAAGCTTTGTAAATAAATCTGATGAACTACACCTTGGGCTTATTTGGACATCTCCTTTTTTCCACAACAATTTTGGCCTTAAATGCTTAAAATGTAACGGTTTGGCTCTTCCACCGCCCCTTTATTCCAGACTTGACTTGTGTCTTCAGGTCTCATTTTAAAACAAACCTGTTCTCAGTGGCTTTTGATGAGTGGACATTTTTGCATCATTGTAATGTTTTATTTTCTTTTATCACTGTTCCTAGTATTAGTATCAATAGTATTATTAAAATTAGTAGTAATATGTTAGTACTACTGGAAATATTTGTAGTACGCATGATATTAGTGTTAGTACTAGTGGTACCATTAATGCTTGCAGACAATAATTTCAGCTGATCTTTCAACCTATGCTTAGACAAATTCATAAACAAAAATATTGTGTATTTTATGCACACTAGTTTTTCCAGTTGAGATTAATCTGTTAGCTGAGCGTTATTCCCAACACATACCCTGTGCTCTACACATTCTGCAATGTATTTGCTTGAAACTTAAGTATTAACTGTTGGAGTCAACAAATAACTCTGATGGTTGCACTTTTTATGCGTTTATGATTTTTTTAAATGTAGGAGATATGACAAAAGACCATTAATTTCCAGTAAATACTTTGAGCTGAAATACAAGTATTATACATTATCACTTCCAAAAGTCACAGTACACCATTTCAGACCCATCTGAATGTTTTAGTGTATACTATGTTTTATTTCAAAGTTGTTCAATAAGATACAAGATATTTTCAAAAGAATTGTATTAAGAATACTTTAATGTACACCCTTAAACAGGTAAAAATAATGAAAGATTTATCAGCATTCCAAAACACAGTACGCATACTGCTACATGTATTTAAATTTTTCAGGGTAAATAACTGTCAATAACTTCATTAAATCCCAACAGATCCGTGTTCGTTTTTTCTCCATTCAAATTTTAGCTTTGGCAACATGATGATTCCCTGGCAGGTCAAGTTGGCTACATGTTCCCAATGACCCGCGGTCTCCTCCATCCCTCCCAGCAGAGCTGCAGTAATGTGTGCGAGCATGCACGTGTGCAAGAATGCACGACTGTGAGCGATGTAATACCTCAGCAGGCACCAGGCCAAACCAAGCTAAGATTAAACCACATGTTCCCAACGGTCTGTTACTATCACGCAACACTCATTCACAGCCAGCCACATTCAGGTTTATGAGTCTGTGTTTCTTGCTCCTCCGCAGCTCCGGATTAAAAAAAAAAGATTTACACTAGGGATGCACGATATTATCGACATGGTATCGTATCGACCAAAAGTAGCGATAAAAGTTAAATATCGGACATCGGCCAGTACATCAAAATAACTCACCGATATAAAAGGTGCGGTGTGTGTATGTATATATATATATATATATATAAGAGAGCGAGAGAGATAAGGCGCTGTTTTTGTATGACATCACATGCGTCGTTTAGATTGGTGAAAATTTACAAATTTGCACTGTTTCAGTGTTGTCGTTGTGTTAAAGAGAGTAAATGCAATGAATAAATTTGACAATAAACATATTTTAATAGGGACAGCACGGTGGCGCAACTGGTAGAGCTGCTGCCTCTCAGCGAACAGGTCCCTGGTTCAAACCCCGGTCCAGGTGCCTTCTGGGTGGAGTTTGCATGTTCTCTCCGTGCGTGCGTGGGTTTTCTCCGGGTACTCCGGTTTCCTCCCACAGACCAAAAACATGCATGTTAGGCTGATTGGTAACTCTAAATTGTCCCTAGGTGTGAGTGAGAGAGTGAATGTTTGTTTGTCTCGTTTGTCTCTATGTGTCCCTGTGATGGACTGGAGACGTGTCCAGGGTGTACCCCGCCCCTTGCACAGTGATTGCTGGACATGGGCACCAGCGACCCCCGTGACCCAAAATGGAATAAACGGGTAAAGATAATGGATGGATGGACATATTTTAATTCCACAGCACAGAAAGATATGTAGTCTCTGTAAGTAGATCAGGGGAAAAAATATCGGGTTTGGTATCGGTTATCGGCCAAATGAGTTTTAACATATCAGCATATCGGCCAAAAATCCAATATCGTGCACCCCTAATTTACTTAAAGCTTCAGTAACAAATATTTCATGAATGGTAACCATCAAGTTGTCGGTTTCCCAAAATAGTAATATGTGACTACACAGAATAATTTGGATCAAGAGTTCTAATACTTTTTATTCTTATTGTTCCATCATGTTTTAGGTTATCCCCCTTAGTCTTCAGTGGGTTTGTATCACCAGCCACCACAAACAAAAAGGCCAATAACTTTTTGTCTGAAATGTCTCCCACAGCCAGTGGACCTTAGTACACAAAATGGGTACAACTCAGTCAATTTTACAGACACTGAGCTAATTAATGTTAGTTAGCCACACACTCAGTGTTACCCACACGCGAGCTCGTGCAATATTGCATTAGATAGTTTAATCTACCGGTACAACATTTTGTTGGTGTGTTGTGCATTCATTGAAGGAATACTAGGAGTTATAAATTAATATTTCCATTCGTTTTGTATTATAGCTCTAAGAAATAAGATTGAGCCAAACTGTGCTTCACAACTGGGTTCCTTTCTTGTTTCAGAAATGGTCTTAGGTTTTATTTCAACTGAATGTGGAAATTTGTTAGTCCAACCCAAACAAGCTGTTTATGTATATTAATAATGTTTTTCTTTAAAGCATACGATTTGTAGGTGACCAACCACAAAAAATGCAAAGAGGCTCAACATGAGGCTGCACAAAACCGGACACTGCAGATTAAACTATTAATGTGCAGCAGGCTCATTACTGCCGCTGACAGTTTGCAGACTTTTTGCAATATGGACTATATCAAGAGAGGATTATAAAGAAATGGTACTCACAGAGATGCATAATAATATGGGCCACCAAGGAGTTGACTGTACAGCCTCTTGTATTATGAGTTTCTTAAATACTCAGAAGAGCTTTTTGTTTTTGATTTCTTTTGAGCTGACGACACCCAGGGAGGATGTTGAAGCACCGTTACGGGGCGTGAGGAGATGCGGGTGCTTTCCCACCTGACTGGACTGATCTTTGTCCTGGGCAGGATTTCCACCGCATGTTTAAGCATCCTAATTTGCAAGAGAGTTATGGATAAAATGTATGAACTGAGGGGAAATGATAGGGATGTAAAGGTCATGGATGCTTTTCACTTCATGTCAAATGTTATATAGCCAGGTATGTGAAGACGAAAGGAGTCTGACAAATGAAAACTTGTTTCTCCTGACACGTTTGACATGTGAGCTGTGAAGTGGAGATCGTCTTGACCTCGCCCGTCTTTATAAAGACACATCTTTACACTCTCTTTGAGCAGACCTTGTTAGATGAAGCACCATGTAAACATCTTGATGCTTGTTTTTACAACGCTGCTCCATCTTGCAAGATTAAAACCTGGGTGATAAAGATCTTCTCCTTTCCTGTGTGGCTTATTTATTTAATGAGTAGATGATAGGAGAATTAAATTATCCAACACACATCTTCATACATCCTCCAGCTAGCCAGCTCAGAAGTCCTAAAAATGCCCCTGCATTAACAATTTGTTTAAAAAAAATGTTTGAAAACAAAATCTAAAGCTGTGAAGTGAAAGTTTTTCTAACAGCTTAAATTTTTTCTCATGTTCAAATCATAGATATTTTTTATTAAATAAGCCGATTATTTTAAATTAACAGCTTTTTGTCGTTATTAAAAACTCAACAATGTTCAAACATTATTTTATTAGAAAATAAACCCAGTTAACAAGTTCTCTCATTTGATTACATCATTCTGACAGCCAGAGTTTAAAGGTTCGGTCGTATGAGCAGGTGGCAATCAGTTTCCCATCAGGTGACACGTCCACGCCCATCACCTAAAAATAAACATTAAACATGAACCAATCAGCGCTTCAAGTGGGAGGAAGGAAAGAGTCTGCACCCTTTCACCCTGTTCACATGGACCATTCAGAATGCAGCCTTAGTACAGACCAATCAGAGCGCAGCGTTCAGACAGACCAATCAGAGCGCAGCATTCAGACAGACCAATCAGAGCGCAGCATTCAGACAGACCAATCAGAGCGCAGCATTCAGACAGACCAATCAGAGCGCAGCGTTTTCACAGACCAAAAAGTGTGCACTGGTTTTGTACCTTCCCCTCGTGTCCAGCAAGCGTTTTCAGTGGCATCCAGCCTGGGTGACTCCAAACCTTCGCCGTGTTGTCGTACGCTCCGGTCAACAGGAAGTGACCATCAGTGGCTGTAGAGGAAATGAGGTCAGACACACAGGAAGTGAGGTGGAGCTGAAAAAAACAACAGTAGAAAAATCCTAGCAGTAAACAGCAAAAGTGTTTATGTTTACGTTGAAAACGGACTGACGACAGCAGGTTCTGGTGGGCGGGGACTGTGTATAGACACTTCCTGTTGCGCAACTCCCAAACCTTGCAGGTGTTATCACCACTTCCTGTTGCCAGGTGATGGCTATGAGAAGAAACGACACAACAGAACAATAAAACATTTCTAACAAGGTTTTTAATTTAAAACGATTTATCTGCATTCCTTAGTTTCAGCTGAGAAAAATCTGATGGGTATGTTTTCTGCATGATTTTCTTTGCTCGTCTCTGATTGGCTGTTTAAGTGACCTTCTCTCTTATTGGTTAGTTTTCTGCTCGTCATTGTGAGTGGCTCACCCGTTAGGGCTGAAGTGCAGACTGTAGATCTCCTTCAGGTGGCCCTCGAGGAAAACAACACAGCGGCCCGTTCGCAAGTCCCACACTCTGCCAAAGGCATCGAGCCCTCTGATGGAAAACAGACCAGAGTCAAGCGTGACTTACCGGTAGGCCCATTGTCAGTTAGACCCCTTTTGTTTGATTTGTTTCTTTGATTTGGCACAACCTAACTGTCCACTGGCTCCCTGTCAAATCCAGAATTTAATTCAAAATCTTACTTCTAACCTACAAAGCTCTCAACAACCTAGCTCCATCTTATATTACAGATCTTATTGTTCCATATTTTCCTAACAGAGCACTTCGCTCTCAGACTGCAGGTTTACTTGTAGTTCCTAGAGTTTCCAAAAACAGAATGTGAGGAAGATCTTTCAGTTCTCAGGCTCCTCTCTTGTGGAACCAACTTCCAGTTTCTGTCCGTGAGGCTGACACATTGTCCAGTTTTAAGACTTTCCTTTTTGATAAATCCTATAGTTAGGGTCGGCTTGGGTTTCCTGGTCTGTCCCTTAGTTCTGCTGCTATAGACTTAGATTGCTGGAGAACAAACTGACCACATTTCCTCTCTCTGCTGCTGTCTTTACTAGCTCTACTCTTCCTGTTTTTATTTGTAATTACTTTTATCTTAACATGTTTTTTGTCTTTCCTCCTATAGAAAGTACATCTGGACCTGTCATTCTGTGTCTGTCTCTCCTTCCTGTCCTCTCAACCAGTCGGTCAAAGATGGCCACTTGTCCTGAGCCTGGTTCTGCAGGAGGTTTCTTCCTGTTAAAAGGGAGTTTTTCCTTTCCACTGTTGCCACTGTGCTTGATGATGATGAGGGACTGTGATGAAGTGAAGATTCAACACTATCTGCTGTGACTTGGAGCTATATATAGTAAATAAACTGAATTCAATTGAAATATATGTTTACTAAAGTACTACAGAGTACAAGCAGAAAGACAGTAAACTCACCCTGTTGCAGCCAGTGAACCATCAGGATGGAAGCTGATGTCATGAACTCCTTTACTGTGACCCTCCTGATGGAGGATCTCCTCCTGGACCTCCAGGTCCCACAGACGCCACGAGTTATCATAACTGTACACAAGAGTACACAGACCGTTACTACGTAGTACACAGACCACTTGATAGAAAACAATTATACGTCAGTGTATCTCTACTTTTTTAAGCTTTGTACTAAGTCACAGTATTCTGTCCGTTTACTTTCATTCACATTTAAACGGTTGCGTACTCTTCAGCTGGACTTGCCAAAACAATGATGAGTGTCAGCTGGAAATACTTCTTGAGTTTGGTTCAGCTTGGACTGCAGAAATAATCATCTCTGTGAGTTGATGTTAGAGATGTTGAAAGGACGACTGAGTTAGATTCTGAGGACATTTGTTCTTTCGGATGTAAGGGTATTTATTATTCAATTCAATTCAATTCAAAAATACTTTATTAATCCCAGAGGTAAATTAAATGTTGTAACTCATCATCCTGGTTTCATTAAAGAGTTGTTCTAGATGCTGATGGCTGTGGGCAGGAAGGATCTCTTGTAGCGGATTTGAAGAAGCCTCTGACTGAAGACACTCTGTTGTTGTATGACAGTCTGATGTTGTATGACAGTCTGATGAAGAGGATGCTGAGGGTTGTCTATAATGTTCTTCATTTTATGAAGAATCCTTCTTTGTACAATCATCTCCAAAGGTTCTAGAGGAGTCCCCAGAACTGAGCCAGCCTTCTTTATGAGCTTGTTGATCTTTTTTAAGTCACTTGCTCTGGTGCTGCTCCCCCAGCAGATGATGGCAGAAGAGATGGTGCTCTCTACAACAGACTTATAGAAGATATGCAGCATCTTGCTGCAAACACTGAAGGACTTCAGCTTCCTCAAGAAGTACAGTCTGCTCTGTCCCTTCTTGTAGACGCTTCACTGTTGCATCACCAGTCCAGTCTGTTGTCCAGGTGAACCCCAAGGTATTTATACTTCTCCACCACCTCCACTTCTTCTCCCATGATGGAAATAGTGTTGGACCTGTTCCTGATTCTCCTGAAATCTACAATCATCTCCTTTGTTTTGTTCACATTCAAGATGAGATGATTGTTCCCACACCATGCCACAAAGTGGTCCACCAGTTCCCTGTCCTCAGCTTCTTGTCCATCTCTGATACACCCGACCACTGCAGAGTCATCAGAATATTTCTGCAGATGACAGGAGTCTGTTTTTATACTGGAAATCTGAGGTGTACAGGACAGCCTTGGGTCAAAGGAGGGTGGTATGTATGTTTGGCTGTGGGTAAGAGAGGAGGCTGCTGAGCTTGTTCCTGATCTGAACCGATTGAAGAACGTGTTCAGTTCATTGGCTCTGTCCAGGCTTCCATCCTTCTGATCCTCCTTCTGCTTGAAGCCTGAGATCTGTTTCATCCCTGACCACAACATCTGTCTCCTTGCAAGTTTATTTTAATACATTTGTCAAACTTCAGTCATGGACTCCTGAGTGATTGTTTCTGGTACTGCAGAGTACACAAGACAGCTACTGCAGAGTACACAAGACAGCT